GTTTGCGCCCCAGCCCAGCCCCGGCCTCCGCCAGGCCCTCCTCTCCGCTTCCCTACTTCTGCGGGTATATCTGCGTATGTTTGCCCCTGGTAGATCCATGAAAGACAAGCTCACTCGTAACCCGCCTTCCCCCGAAAACCCATGTGCACTACTTGCTGTGTGTCCCGCGGCCTTTCCCTCGGGCAGCGCGAGGGTGACCTTTGTGAAGCCACTGCAGGTACCACCGAGCGGCCGCTGTAAGTGCTCTGTGGAGGGACCACATTGAAGGAACAGCATTTGGCTGAGGCCGCCGTGCCGCCTGGTTCTCAGGGCACCGGGTCAGGACCTCAGCCGCGGTACAGCATGCGGACTCACGGGACCCGAGGGACCCGGCGGGGGAGTGTGTGTGTTGGGGGCGGGATAGATGTGCCTAAGGGGCTCCCGGCCCGGGCGGTGGGGCCACTGAGCCCAGGATCAGGCCACGTGATCGTGTGCCGTTGTTGGATGAGACATTTCATCGTCTTGTGCTGTTCTCACGGGCCCGGGGCAGAGGAGCCACACCCATTACTTTGTGCGTGAGGCTCCTGGGCACCGTGGCCCCTGGCTGCACACCGTTGGCTCACGGAGGAGCCGGCAGTGGCTGGCAATGCGCCCCACCTCCTAGCCAGGTTCCAGCCACCCAGACAGGCGGCCTTTGATTCAGGCCGACTGCAGCGGGCCAGTGCCCGTGGCTGCTGGAGACAGACATCGAGGGATGAGGGGGGGCCCTCCTCACCACCCCGGACCCCAGGACTGAGGCCGATCAGATGTAACGGGCAGGGGGCCTCGGGGACCCTAGGGGAGGGAGCCTGCTTCCCCCCTCACTAGATGTGCGCCGTCCTCTCGCGGAGCCTCAGTGTCCCCACTTTGAAAACGGGGCCGTCCCTGCTGTCCCTGAGCAACTGGGACATTAGTCGGGACGTGGGGAAGGACCACGTTTCCCGCAGACGGTGTTTATGGCTCCGCTGCAGGCTGCCTGCTCCCTGCTCTCCCCGCTGCGTTCACTGCCCCTCACTGCCCTCTGTCTCCTGGCGCTCAGTCACTCCCAGAGGTCATCAGGGCTGATCCACAGGAGCCTCTGCGAGCCACGCCCCCTTTGCTCACCATCAGGGTGGCAGGGCGTGGTGGCATCGCCCCCCCCGCCCCCCCAGAACGTGGTGCCGCCTAGCCAAGCCGGGGTGTGCGGAGCTCAATGCCCAGTGCTCCTTCCAGGCCAGGACCGGCGAGAGCAGTGCTGGCCGCTCGGGTTCCAGAGGGCACCGGTCCTGGCAGACCCGGCACATGCCTGAGCAGGGGACGAGGCCTGGGCCTTGCCTCCAGTTGTGGTCCCAGAGGCAGCAGCCCCCCTCTGCTGAGGCAGCAGAAACCCTGGCTGGGGGGGGGGGGGGGAGGATCCAGGGGAGTGTGTGAACCTCCTGGGAGGCCCAGCGGCCGTGCGGCCAAGTGACTGCAGATGGAGGCCAGGGGAGGCCCACAGTGTGGTGACCAGGGACAGCTCTGGTGGGAGGACCCTTATCCAGTCAGGTTGGCGACGGGACAGCGCCACAAAGGGAGGGACGGTGTCCTTGTGCCAAGGCATTGCTGTATATGGCAGAGCAGTGGTCCCACGGGGACAGCCCAGACCCAGCCTGAGTGGCACATCACGGCTGTGCAGCCCAGAGCAAGTGTCCCAACCTCTCTGAGCCTCCTGGCCACCTGGCAGCAGCTAGGGAGGTGATGTGAGGAAGCGCAGCATTAACACTTCTTGGGGTGAGCGCGTGCCCTTCCCCGTGTCTGGGTCACTGTGCTGCGGAGTGTCCTGAAGGGCTCTGAACCCATTGGGGGGTCTCCGGTGGAGCGCCCCCCTCCCCACCCACCCGGGGCAGGCCCTGGGCAGTGTGGGGGCTCACTAATGCACCGTGTTCTTCCTGCCAGTGTAGGTCTCCACCAGCTGACCAGCCCGCGGTACAAATTCAACTTCATCGCCGACGTGGTGGAGCAGATCGCGCCGGCCGTGGTGCACATAGAGCTCTTCCTGAGGTGTGTGACCCCCCCACCGCACCCCCCCTCCTGGGTCCCAAGCTGGGCTCCACTCTAGCCCTGGGGCAGTAGCGGCCGGAGTGGGCTTGGGGTCAGGTGACCTCACCCGACTCCTGGCTGCCGTGCGCCCTTGGGAGGGACGTCCCCCTGGGACTCGGATCTCCTCTCCGGGGGACGGACAGCAACCCCGCACCTCGCAGAGCTGCAGGCGCCAGGCCGGGCGCAGTGGGCCGGGCTGTGGTTCCTGTAATGTTTCACGCGGCCAGTTTTCGGGAGCAGCTCCTACGGTTTATATCTCAGAGAAGCCATTTGTAAAGCCTGGAGCAGTGGTTCTCACCTTCTGGCCCTTTAACTACAGTTCCTCATGTGGAGGAACCGTAAAATGATTTTCGTTGCTACTTCATCACTGTAATGTTGCTACTGTGATGAATCGTCATGTAAACATCTGATATGCAGGATGGTCTTGGGCGACCCCTGTGAAAGGGTCGTTCAACCGCCAAAGGGGTCGCGACCCACAGGTTGAGAACCGCTGGCCCAGAGAAAGGATCACCACAATCCCGGCCCCGGCACACGGCCCGGCTCGCTGGGCGCCAGGCTTGCCCAGTGGGAGCCTTGGTCACTGGGGCCACTGCCCATCTCTGAGGGCAGGGACGGGGCTCCTGGGGCCAGCGGACAACAGGCGGCAGCCCAGCGCCGTGGGAAGAGCAGGGCTGGGCACCTCCTGTGGGCTGGGCTTGCCTGCTCTTCTCAGCCAGCCCTGTGCGGCCCCTCAGAGAGAGAGCCAGGCCCAGGCCCCCCTCACGGCCTGCACCCGAGGCCCTTCCGCTCTCGCCCACGCATCTTCCCAGGACCCCGGGGTGGGCTGTCCCGCTCGCTTCCTGCTGTGGGAGCCGAGCCCGCACCCCCGGCCTCCGAGCTGCTGACGCCCTCGGCCGCACTCTGACCCCTCACCGCCCTCTCCGATGTGTCATTGAGGAAATGACCACTGGACACTCTAAGTGGCACCAGCGCTGAGTGCCCGGCGCTGCAGGTGGCTCGGGCTGTGCCCCAGGCGCGGAGCCAGCGCGTGGCTGACGGCAGCCCAGCCCGCAGGCGGCGAGGCCAGCCAGGCTGTGGAGGTCACTGAGGCCAGAGGCCAGGGAACTGGCTTCCCGGGTCCCCGCCAGTGAGCGCCCAGCGGTGGGCACGTGAGTTCTCTTCGCTCTGCCCACAGCAGCCCTGCCTGAGGGGCCACCTGCCCCAGGTGCCGCAGGCCCCAGGCCCACCGCTGAGCAGAACAGGGGTTACCCCAACTCCTGCGTGGGGGACCGGGGCTCAGGGAGGTTCAGCGACCCGCCCTCCGGCAGGGAGTGGCTGGGCTGGTGGTTAGGATCTGGGTCTGTCCGGCTCGTGTCCTGCTGTCTGCACAGTGAGCGTGCCGCCATCACAGTCTGACACTATGGCCTCGTGTCTCGCTCGCAATTGCACGCCGGGGATGAGGCCCCTCTGTGGCTGTCCCGTGGGTGAGACCCAGGGCCACGGCCAATCAGTGGCAGAGCCAGGATTTGGACTTGGGCGTGGGGGACCCCAACTCAAGTTCACCGGGGCCGGCCCTGCATCCAGGCCCCGAGCCCTGACCCCGCGCGTCTGCCCCGCAGACACCCGCTGTTCGGCCGCAACGTGCCCCTGTCCAGCGGCTCTGGCTTCCTCATGTCCGAGGCCGGCCTGATCGTCACCAACGCGCACGTGGTGTCCAGCACCAACGCCGTCTCAGGCCGGCAGCAGCTCAAGGTGCAGCTGCAGAACGGCGACACCTACGAGGCCACCATCAAAGACATCGACAAGAAGTCGGACATCGCCACCATCAAGATCCACCCCAAAGTGAGTGGCGTGGGAGTGGCAGAGCGGCAGTGGGGGGAGGAGGGACGGGGGGCGGGGAGTACTGTGGCAGAGGAACACTTGGTCTGTTTTACTCATCCCCTCTGTTTATTCAGGAAACCTGGGGCAGGGAAACCATCATTTTGTCTCCAAATCCAGTTCTTC